TTTGAGAAGGAATAGGCAGAAAATCTAATCCGTGAATGTAGACAGCTATCATGGCATTCAATAAAAGTTTAGGGGAGTTATGCGGAGGGTGGCGGTTCAGGTCTGTATTTTACAGTTGTGAGGGAAATGGGGTAAGGAGTAGCCCATCATCACTTCAAGATTATTTGTTTTCTAAAATCCTGTTTAAAAATCTATTATAGGAAAAATATTTAAGCGTATAGATCCGTTACTATGCAAGGTACAGGTAAGATAAGCAAATATATATCAGAGCTGTTTCTAGGCAACGACTCGGTAAACACGTTCCTGCAGCAACGAATCACATGCACTTGAGGTAATGTTGGAAACGGGGGTACCGGGGCCGTTCTGACAACGGTCCGAAACCCCTGATGAGGAAACAACAGCGCTAGAGCAATGTTCCGAATTTTTTTCTTTATGATTTTGCCGATAAACAACCTCTACATAAATTTTCTGATCTGAAGCTCGTTTCGACCTCTGTCGAAAAGGTTCTCTTCAGGGAGGAGTTTGTGACTCCGTTAGGCAGAGTCCCGGCTTCCTCCTACGAGCTTCAGACCCGCAGTATTTGTCAGAACTTTACATTCTGTTTTTGTACAATGTCATTTTAGAAATGTTTCCCGGATTCCTTCTCCGGTCAAGGTCTCCCAGTCAGGGGCTCGGAGTGCGTCTCCCTTCTCACGAACCAGCCACTTCAACTTCTGGAGAGACATTTCCGACGGATACAGGATGTGGTGTCTTGTCTCCGATGCAGAGGAAGGAGCCGCGTTTCCCGCTGGAATCTTACTCCTTGTCCCCTTTTCCTCAAGGATTCTCCATTACTTCTCGAGAAGTGGGGCGGCCTTGAGTTTCCCGCAGACGATGGTCAGGTGTCGCTTCGGGGAGGGCTGCTCAGGAGAGGATGTTTCCAACTACTGTTGAGAGAGCGGTGTTTTATGCTCGGTCAGTCCAAAGGGTTATGAGGACGACAACTTAAGCAAGAAGAGTTCATTGGCCCGGGTGGAGGCGGGCTCTAATACCTCCACTGTAACTGTGCAAGTCGTAGGAGACGACGAAAAGAGAACCCAGTGCCTGAGGATAAAACCGGGCCCTCTGTTGCTGGGGGATATAAATACGGAGACCTGGCCCTCCAGGTTGGGGAAATCTCGAATCTGAGACAGTAAAATACGGTCATGAGTCTCACAGGACTCGGTCCCGAGAATGACTGCGCTGGCCAGGAGCAGCAGAAATTGTAATCGTCAGGTCCATCATCTATTCAGGTAGGATGTTGCATAAGGACTATGACCGCAAGGGTTCAGTTTGAAAAAAAAAATATCGCTGTTCGTAATTCTCAAGGGGCTTGACGCCAAGATGAACTGATTTGCGGTAAACCGCCAGTCGTAAAGTAACTCTGACTCTGAAGAAGAGTTCAGTTGGAAGGGAGCTAGTGTTCAGAGAGGAATTGAGCACGGAAGCAGAGGAATATCCATGGTTAGAAGCCGTCACCAGGAAACGTCTATTGAAGTCATTGAATGCTGGAAAGAACTTGGAGTGTGCTGTAGTCATTTGTAAAGTGTTGTAAACAGAGATAGGGTTATAGTCATTGTAGTTAAGACCCGTTAAGTACTCAATAAATCCAATTATCCAAAACCCCATCTATATTCACACACACATACTATGTGCCAGTATGTTTACGAGCAAGTCACTGCTAGGAAAGGGTCAATAAATACTAAGAACCATTCAATAATTCGGTGCCAAGTTTCGTAATTCTTAAAGTTCGCAGTGGGTTAGAACAGTGCATAATCAATATTACGCAGGCAGGGCTCACAAATCCCTCTTAAGATTAACCTACTCAGATTTGTGACATATCGTGCCTTACGTCTTGGGACGATATTCTAAACGCGCTCTTTTTTTGCAGATATCTACGGGGAAATGTTATTGTTAGTGCTTAAATCACATCTAATTTCGTGGCGAATTTAATGTACCTGATTGTCAAATCTGTATTCTCTTCACCAGTAAAACATAATTATGATTATTTGTCGATTTACTCATTTTTAATCTGCTGCTATTAATTGATACATTTTCGGGAAAACATTGATGAATGCAAATTTTTAAATTCGTCTCTATTTTTAAATGCATGCGCAACGAAAAGCCGCGAAAAATGCCTATTAGTTTCGTCAAACCTACCCTTTCGTCTGTTGTTATATACACGGCTTATGTGACAAAGTCTTCTAGTCGAGTCAGATTCTATAACTCAAATTCTGATTGGTATATATGACATAGGGCAGATCACAGTTGCCGCGAGGTCTAAGGCATGAAATGACTTCGCTCGCTCGAACACTGAGACCATGGGTTCGAATGCCATTCAAGGCATTAATATCTGTTTATTCTGTGTTTGTGATAGGTGGCGGCCTTGCAACGGGCTGATCCCCAATCCAAGGAATCCTACAGACTGTATAAAATTAAGAAATTGAAGTGAAACGAAACGCTTCACAGATGCCCTACGCTCTAAGTGGGAGCATCAGGAATAGAAGAGGTAGAAAAACCGGAAGAAGAATATGATTTAGGCCGGGGCGAGCAAATTTGGGTGGTTTTTGCAGTGACTTCCGTCCATCTGGTTGTTTGCCCTCCTACGACCCACATTTCCTTTGGCGTGTGAATGTCACTGTTAGTGGTGTTGGAGCAGGTGCAACTAGCAGTGGAGAAAGATGAAATACGAACATACATATACGGAGCACTCCACTATTGACGGAGATCTGCGGCCACAGTACTTGATTCGCTCCGAGCTACTGGCAAATGATAGTATGATTTGACACATGGCTACGAAGCACGCGGAATATTAAAACAAGCCTGTTGAATTGCTCGACAGGAAATAGAAAAAACTCTATCAGCAGGCAGTGTCAATGAAACCACGAACACCAGTATCAAATAAGGTATTGGGGGCATCATACCAGTCGAGGGGCCGTGCCATAGTTCAGGCGGTTAGTCGCCGGCTTCCCACGCCTCATCGGGAAGCGAACCCGCAACCTTCCAGCTTGTAGCATAATGCCTCGACCAACTACGCTACCGAGTGCGCCCCATACCGACTGGGATATCGCAAAAAACGATTATGTAAGGCAGCCTTTCAACGCACCGTCGTAGGGAACACAACGCCTCTCGCTGACTTCAGGAAGAGTTAACCGGTCAAGCAGCATAATATTCTAAGAATCTGCCTCGTTAATGTGAGTGCGTGCCTGCATCTTTCAACAGAAGAGATTGAATCTCGATTCGATATCGAATAATGCTGCTCTCAGATCACCTTCGACATTCGTAAAGCATGTGAGATACTTCGACTTAGCGCACGGTAATGTAGGAACTTCGCCGGTCACGGTAGCCGAGCGGTCTAAGGCATGCACTGTCTTCGCTTGCTCGGAAGCCGGGATCGAGGGTTCGAATCCCACTCAGGGCATGGATGTTTGTGTGCGTTTTTCTGTGTTTGTCTCCAAGTAGAGGCCTTGCGACGAGCTGATCACTCGCCCAAAGAGTCCTACCGAATGTATAAGATCTAGTGAACAGAAGTGAAACGGAGAGTTTCATGGAGGAAGGCCTAGGCCCAAATTGGGGCTGTAGCGACATAGAAAAAAAGAAAAAAAAAAGAACGTAGGAACTTCAGCTTCACTGAGATAAGATGACGCAGACGGTATGAGAGAAGGAACTGCTAATTCTGCTACAACCGGTTTTTAATTTGTGGCGGTCATCCAGAAGGCACATCGTGCAGACGGACACTGGGACCCACCCAGTCTCCTATCCAATGGGTACCGCGGGGTAAGGAGACAGGGGCGTGAAGCTGACTACTCACCTCCAGCTAGTGCCGAGGTCAAGAAAAGACGAATCTATATATCCACACCCCCACACGCCTTCATGAAATAGTGCTTAATTAGTTAAGCACAGGGACAACTTCATCTTTTTACCTTCTTAATCCTTTAAGTTCCATTATGGACGTGAGGTCCTTGTACTGCGGCCACTTCTGGCCTATTGTACCAGCCCCAGATGATAGGTGAGGGTGATTGTGGAACAATTGGTGGAATGAAGATTGGCAGGGGAAACCGAAGTACTCGGAGAAAACCTGCCCCAGCGCCACTTTGTCGACCACAAATCCCACTTGACCAGACCCGGGATCGAACCCGGGCTGCCGCTGTGGGAAGCCAGAGACTAACGCTTGAGCCACGGCGCGATATGGACGTGAGGTCTACTCAGCCTTTAACAGAAATGAGTACCAGGAATCTTCCTTGGGGTAAAGGGCCACCGGCCGGGGCGTAAGGCTGACCATCTTACTGTCATCTGTTAACCGATTATCTACAAGATGTGGCAGCCTCGAAGTCTCACAACCCTATGGGCCTCTGCGGTCTGTTACAGGGATAGATGTACCTTTCTTTTCACAAGAATGGACAAATCGTAGGGGCAGAAGAAGACGGAAATAACCAGAGAACCAGCCAAACAATAGCCGCTGTAGTACTGAAAGAAGAAAAATAGGTAATATTTCATATGCACAGAACACGCATCTTTCTTCAAGGTACAGGAGGGTGAAGTCAGCCAAGTCTCACCCTGTGTTGCAAGCAATGAAGTGCGACGACGCGAGGGCTGGGCCCCATGCGGGGAGACTGACCACCTGGCGTGATAAAAGCGAAAGAGTTCAAACTTGCACGCGATCACACAAGGTTCAAACTTCGAGTCTGACTTACATCATAAAGGTTTCGGTGTGACACGCATTGCTCTCGAGCAGTGTAGCGCTCATTTCTCATTTTGAAAACATTTAAAATTTTAACATTTTAGTGACTCTAATTGTCTGTGATAACGACGCAGAACGGTGAGCCACATGTTTGATATTTGTATCTGTTTACTGTATACGTGTGACGTGTTGATCAACAGAAGGTAACATTGAACTGTGATAAAATTTGTCTCGTTTCTGTGTGTAAAGTTAATAAGTGGCTATTGGTCTTCTACTGTGCTATATTGGACCTGATTTAAAAAGGGAATCCCGGGTGATGTCACTTATATTTGGTACGAATCCCTTTTCTCATGTAGTTCATTATTAGTAGAAGTTGATAAAATCACCGAATATTTCAATGGAGATTGTCCAGTGTCTGAGTACAACTTGATATACACAACAGTGCAGCAATTAGCTGTAATCCTTGAAGATTATAGCTACCGTCTCCCTTATTGCAGTACCGGTATCACTAGTGGTGTCAAAACAAATTGCCAGGCGTTCCCTTAAGGCTTCACTTTCAATATTCCCGCTGAAGACTTACCTGCGAAGGTTCTACGTATGTTCCAACCACTAAAGGGATCAGTCCGTCCTTACACATGAAGCAATTTTAGAACCTCTGGAGGATATTCACGAAATTTGGTGTTGGAGAAATTTATTAAATTTGCCTTCACACTTCAGTTTTCTTTTAAATAAGGAATATTTAAAGATGATTATACGTGAGACTTGCATGTGTTTCTTCTCATATCTCGCAAAATATTTATTTATCGGAGAGAAAGGTCTTTAAAATAAAACGTGAGTAGGAAAATTAAGCACTCATTTTATGTTATATAAACTTAGTAGGTTGGGAATTGCGGGTTTCAAAGTGCTTAAACAAAAGTGATGTCATGAAAACATTTCCGGATTTTATTTTTCCTCGTTAACTTATTCTAGAATTAACATTAGTGTCCAAAATAGAAGAGCATTCGAAAGAAATTAAATCCTAATCGAATTTAGGCTGCGTTAAAATCAGGCTCTGTTCTTTTAATGTTTTAATGTTAATATAAAACAATTTATACATTGCAAGTCGAAGTCCTAATCCGTTTATCTATCTATCTATCTATCTATCTATCTATCTATCTATCTATCTTTATTCCTGTTGCTCCCACTTGGAGCCCAGGGCATCCGTGAAACACTTCGTTTCACTTCGGTTTCTTAATCTTATTTACGGTCAGTAGGACTCATTGGACGGGGGATCAGCCGGTCGCAAAGCTACCACCTACACAGGACAACATAAACATAAAATAAATGCACACAAACATCCATGCCTTTTGTGGGATTCGAACCCGCGATCACAGTGTTCGAGAGAGCGAAGACAGTTCATACGTTCGACCAGACGGCCACTGTGATCGGCGAAGCCCTAATACTGACTCTTAGTTAATCGATATATAGCTTCGAGCTCTCGGGTTTGTATATATCAACTTACAGTTAATTTAATATTTGTCGATTATAACGATTTAATTTGGGCTTCGGTTTGTATAGATGTGAAACACGGTCTCGTGGCATTAAGGGAGGAACATAGACTGAGGGTGTCTGAGAACAGGGCGCTGAGGAGAATATTTGGACCGAAGAGAGATGAAGTGACAGGAGGTTGGAAGAAAAACTGCATAATGAGGAGCTTCATAAGTTGTACTCTTCTCCAAGTATAACTACAATGATCAAGTCAAGGATGCTTCAATGGGCAGGACATGTAGCATTCATCGGGAGAAGATGAATGCTTATAGGATTTGGGTGGAAGAGCCAGAAGGAAAAAGACCATTATGAAGATTATGAAGGTCTAGATGTAGACGTGAGAATAATATTAAAATTGGTATTAGACGAATAGTATAGGGTGGTATTGACTGGCTGTTTCTGGCTAAGAATAGGGAACAGCTCTTGTGAATGTGGTAATGAATCTTCGGATTGCATAGATTATTGGGAGATTCTTGAGTAGCTGAGCGACTGGAGGCTTCTCATGTAGGTCTCAGCTCCATAGAATTTTTAATTAATTTGTTGGTTGTTACAAAGGAAGGGCTTATCAATCTTTATTATTTCATGTACAATTTGTTCTACCGACCGAGCCTGTTAAGTTTACACTCTATACGTTTACATTGAATCGACTCGGCGTAAGCTTGTGTGTATGGCGGACACAAGTGATCACTGTACCCTTACATTAATACTAAAGAGCATTTACAATTAGGTTTCTTATTTCCCAACCTTCCGCTTTCCCTAGGGCTTCAAACCTTTGTTTAACTGTTTCAGAAGGTACCAATTTATTACAAATATTTATTTATAGTTCATTGCATGATGTCAGTAGTATAGTGTCGTCTGGTGGGATGAATAATGAATTTTAAAAGATGTGAAAGGAAGCGGTCGTGAATTGATTGAGGTACTACAGTGACATATGTCTGGAGGAAAACCGAGAAAAATCTTATTGAAGGTAGCCGGTATTTCGACAGAGAATAGAAACTGATAACCTCTGGAATATAAATAAGAAACGTCATCACTTCAGTCAACTTGTGGCGTGACTATATACATCTCTGGAATCACCGCTTACATCTCAAGCAACGGAATATTGGGATCATGAATCAGCAATTGTCATTAATCTTTGCAGAATCATCAATGGTGATGTAGCTGCAATGCTAGATAAAGTCTTGGATTTGTTTTTAAAGCCTGCAGTTAATCTATATGATATTTGGAAATTCAGTCCCAACGTCACATGAAACATACTGCGTCCATAAATATATCCTTCTTTTCTGGAATATTACGCCGTGTGATCTGGTAGGTAAACAAATGTATTTATCCGCCATTAATATGAATCAAATGCGATGTTCCAAAAAGTCGGTAAAAATCTACACATCATTTCCAAGGAGATAATAATATTTATAATTACCGTTAAGTATCGGAAATTTCACATCGTGCCTCCATTACAAAGACTAACGGAATTTTCAATTTACCTAATCCTTCTAGCTACGCTATGGCCCTGGGTTCGACTCAGCCTCTAACACAAATGAGTGCCAGGAATTTTCCTGGGGGGTAAAGGTCGGCCGGTGCATAAGGCTAACAATCTCACCGCCATCTGTGAGCCGATTGTCTAGAGAATGTGGGAACCTCGACGTCTCACAACCTTACGGGCCTTCACGGCTGGTTACAGAAATAGCTTTACCTTTTTATTTCACCTCACATGTTAATGCAGCATAGGAAAGTAACCATTGGTTACTGTCAGATTCATGCAGCGTGTGAACACAATCCAGAAATGGTTTCATGTCAAAGGCGGTGGTGCGTACAGTTGCTTAAGAGGCAAACGTATGTGGGCGGTCTCTTTTCTGTGCTTCACAAAATTTTATATTTATTTAAGAAAATTAAGGAAAGGAATTAGATATTGTTTAGATGTGACACCATGAAGCCCAGCAGAAGTTTTATAGACACTACGGAGAAACTTACTGACTCCATCTTCAGGACCGAAAATTAAATCAAGATATGAGCAAAGAGAAGAAGATCGTGTTGCTTACTCAGCATATTATTCTACAAGACTACACGGTGTTTCACTTCAGAAGAGAGTATTCTTCACAGTGAGATTATAAAATCTCTCAAACTGTAGACATTGTTGCATGAATGACGCACCTGCATTGTAGCTTGATTGAAAAAGTGAGGTGTTTTAAGCAGGTATAGCTACGTCAGGAGGGTGTCACAACTGTGTCAGTAGGGGCTACAAATGCTGCCATTCATGTTGTTCCAGTTCAATTGTCAGAGTTATCGATTGGTAACAGAGTCATTTCCCTATACAGCATTAAACAGCCGGACTTCACAATGGAAATTCTGTATTTCCTGTGCCACAGGGAATAAACTTCTACGTAACATTATTCAACTGGATTTCCAAAGGATCGTGATGGTGGTATGTAACAACTGGAGTGTGGTAAAATCGTGTGAGTTGAAATGGGAAGCCAATAACGTACACCACAAACTTTGGTGGCGCAGCGCGGTGGTAGGTTTCGAAACTAATGATGCTGTTATCTGTCGCGGTAGATATTAATTTCGTTTATTTTTGTTTTGGCAAATATTTCATAATACTCGTGCTCTCAACGTACCATTCTAGAAATGTTATTACATTATAGAAACAACAATGTAAACATTTCTAAAATTGTGAATGAACCATATCACCCTCACTATTCTATATGACGAGGGAGAGCCGGTACGTATTTTTTTTATTGCTAGTGGGGTGGGACTAAGCCCCTTGTACTGCGGCCACTTCTGGCCTATTGCACCTGCCCAAGATGTTAGGTGAGGGTGATTGTGGAGCAACTGGGGGAATGAAGATTGGCGGGGGAAACCGAAGTACTCGGAGAAAACCTGCCTAAGCGCCACTTTGTCCACCACAAATCCACTTGACCAGACCCAGGATGGAACCCGGGCCACGGCGGTGGGAAGCCAGCGACTAACCGCTTGAGCTATGGTAAATAGATCACAAATGAAAGTGTAAGAGCTGTACCGGATGTAATAGGTTTTCTGTGTGCATCACTACGTAGCAGCACAATCCAGCTTCATGACAGTCTAGGTAGCAGACGCTCAGGCACATGTTAATAGGCTGGTTTCAGTAATCAAAATGACCGTATTTGAGGTGTGTGACATCGAAGAGCAGGGTTGTTTTTGCATCTTTTTGGGGCATAAAGACTCAATCAAAGGATGTTCATAAAGAAATGCTTCCTGTTTAAGCTGGGAGTGTTTGTCGCGTAAAGGGATTCGCAACTGGGTCGATAAACGTGGTAAATACAAGGGCTGGATAAAAAGTAGTGGCAACACTGCTGTAACATGAAGAATGTGCGTCAGGTGGCACTAGCGCCGTCTGTAGCTGATAGCAGAAGTTCCGTTGAAGTAGTGCAGTGAGTGGCTCAGGTTGTATTTCATTGAGTTGCATTGTGCATCGTCTTGAAGTGCAGGAGCCCGGTTCAAGCACCCTAACAACAAGTTTACGAAAGAAGAACAACGCTCCTGGATAAAAATTGAAGTTGCACGAGGACGTAGTGCACAAAACTGTTATCAGGGACTGCGAAAAGCATGTGGTGATGCTGCTTTGCCATATCGCACAGTGGCACGATGGGTGAAACTGTTCCGTGAAGGGAGGGATGCCGTTCAGGACGACCCCATGTTGACAACCACACA